CCACACCAGCCCGAAATGTGATGTAGCTTTTTGTAACTCTTTTGTCCATTTTTTTTTCTTTTTCAATTGTTTATTTTTATTGTGCAAAGAGAGATACAAACAAGGCTGCAATGCCACAATAGTAATTACAGGCCTTCGTAAAGCTGACAGTACTGTGACATGGGATTAAACTGCACACATTTTTAAAATTGTTAGAGTAATGCTGAGTAAATCAGAAGATTAGTAACTGCGAGTAACAATTGCAAGAGGTGTGTTTACGAGAGATAAATTGACATGGCTGATGTAGATTAGTAGCCTGCTGAATTGCTAAACATTATAATAAGCAAAATGGACAATATGTCAAAAGACATGAGTAGAAGAGAAGCAGGGGAACGTAACGGCAGCTGTATGCCTAGCTAGGCACATGGATATCGTGGTCATGCTTAATAAACAGTTATAGGTTAGAAAGGTGTGTATGCTGAACCAACATATAACAGAGTAGCGAGGCTATACATAGATAGGCTTAGCTTATAATCGCTTGGTCCCTAGCGATACCCCCCCTGCGGTCCCCGGCAGGAACAATAGGGCTATTGTATTGCATGCATACAGTTGTGAGAGTTCATCTAGGGCAGTGATGGCGAACCTATGGCACGCATGCCACAGGTGGCACGCCAGGCCCTCTCTGTGGGCACGCAGCCATAGGTTCGCCATCAATGCAGAGTAGGCACCTGCCTGCCCAAAACGGCAGGCGCCTACTCTGCTTCCATGTCGGGAGGCAGGGGGAGGGATCTGTGAAGCAGCTCCCCTGTCCTCCTGCGAGCAATATGTGTGGAGCGTTGCCGCGCATTACCACACAGCTTCGCGCAGAAGGACAGAGGAACTGCTCCCTACAATACTTACCACCACCGGACCACCAGGGATGGCTGTGTCCCCCCCTCCTTTATTAAAGGTAAGAAGGGGGGGATACAGATTTAGCATACTTTTTTTTTCTTACCACCCCTACACCCCCCCCCACACACACAGGACCCCTACCCCACACACGCACAGCACCCCCTACCCTCTACACAGCACCCCTCCCCCAAAAACAGCACCCCTACACCCCCACAGCACCCTACCCCCACACAGCACAGCACCCTTACCCCCGCCCAGCACCCCTACCCCCACACTGCACAGCACCCCTACCCCCACACATCACCCCTACGTCCCCACACACACAGCACCCCCCAGTCACACCGTACCCCACACAAACACAGCACCCCACACACAAACATTTACACTGCACCCCTCATTGCAGTATGTGTGCGTGTATTCAGCAGTCTGTGTGTGTGTGTGTATGTATGTTTTCAGCAGTCTATGTGTACTCAGCAGTGTGTGTATTCAGTGGACTGTGTGTGTGTATTCAGCAGTCTGTGTGTGTATTCAGCAGTCTGTCTGTGTATGTATTCAGCAGTCTGTCTGTGTATGTATTGCATTTGTTGGAGATACTAATAAATATAAGCTTAATTTTATCTATTTATATCATTATTTAAAATGTGTATAATTGAACTCTCTGTTGTTGTGTTCTTCTTTAAAAACAAAAGTTGTTAATTAGTTTGGACAACTGTACGAGTTGTTTTATTCTTAACTTGAACCTCAGTATTCAGGTTTAATTGCTGTGTTGGCACTTTGTGGAAAAAAGTTGGCATGTATTGCGGTTTGGGCACTCTGGCTCAAAAAGGTTCGCCATCACTGATCTAGGGTATTAAGAGGTAATGAATATTGGGCACTGTGCCTGGCATTGAGTCCCAGTCCTGAGTGGATCAGCCGATGCCCTGTATGGTCTGGGTGTGCTCCCACTGCGCCGTTAGTTGCAGCGGTGATGGGAGAAGAGTGTCTCAGTGTGGGCAGAGGACCTATTCGGTATGTATAATGTAGCTCCAGTTGTGGTTCCCACCTGTCGGTGTAATTGTTGGCTGTAGCTGTGATTGTGGATTTGGGCTGCTGCTGCCACCATTTTAGGCCACTTGGTCTGCCACTTGCATGTGTGGATGAGTTGGTCATTGCCCCTCTTAGGCTGTGTCACTGCCGGGGAGTGAGGTGGTGTTCTGCTCTTGAGATGCTTTGCCTGTGCCCGGTTGCATTTGCCCTTGGTGTGGCTCTGGTCACCCGATATCGGGGTGGTCTTTTTCAGGCGCCTGTATAGCCCAGGAAGGGAACTTACAGCGTGTGCCAGGACATTCTCTTGAGTTTCTCATAACAGACTGTGTGTTGTACCTTCAGGCTGGGTCCCTGGTTCCGGGGGCCACAAAAACTGTTCCAGCCTCTCCCAGAAGGAGTCAAATATGCAGGTGAGTCTAAGCACCTTTTCTCTCTCAGCCTTGCAGAGGGTTGAGGCGTGTGTGTCGTCCGCCATTTTGTCTGCCACACCAGCGACCTCCAGTCCGCCCGATAGGTTCAGTCGCTTATCTCCTGCTGAGGGGACCGTGAGGAGGTGGACCGGGATAACCCCCGGGGGGGGGGGAGGAGAACGAGGGCCTGGAGTCCTACATCTGGCTGGTTCAGGCAGCAGGGAAGCGGCCATCCACCCCGCGCCCGCCATGCTGGTAGATCTTGCCGTGAGTTCGGGTACGCCTGTTGGACATCTTCGCTTGGGTGGTGTCTATGTGTGCGCCCCGGTATCACCCGTCACTTGGTGGCCTTTAAACTGCATTTTAGTGCTGTTTAAGCGTCTAGAATCAGTTGTTTTAGCCCCAAGCAGCGGGAGCTGGTGAGGCATGCTTCCTCTCTGCTCAGCGGTCAGGCCACTGCCCCCCTCTTTTGTCCATTTTAGAGGTGTGAATAAAGTTATTTGAGCAGATGAGATCTGGATGTGAGTGCACTCGAGTCTCCTGGCTTTGAGCACGATAATGTCACACGCGAAAGCCGCAAACACAGAAATTGCAAACTGCAAAAAAGGCAGTAAACCCAATTGGAAGAGGTATAAAAATGGCGAATGTATATATTATACCCAAGTGTATATACCTCTTTAGAATGATTCCTTTAAAAATCCCTACACCATGGCATAAGATGGTAAATACATCATTCCTAAAATTTGTTTGGCAAAAGAAAAAAAAAACTAGAATAGGTATAAATGTACTATATATAAACAAACAACAGGGAGGCATTGGATTTCTTAACATTATACTATAGAGCCTCCTTATTAACGAGTGTTGGATTTATGCACTTCGATCACATGTGTTTTCTAAGTGGATAGTATACAACATCCATGCAAACTGATTCATGGTCTCTGGCCAGTTAAATGTAGTAAAATCAATATTAAAAAGTATGACTTTGATGTTGATAATTTAGTATTACAAAATTTTTGGAACCGTTTTAAAAACACATACTTAAACAAATATGAATTAATGCGATTTTGCCATTGTTACCTTTATCTTATCTTATAGATATGATAGATAATTTAGGTGTAACAAAGATCTCTATGATAAGATCTCTATAATATTAATGCGATTTTGCCATTATTACCTTTATCTTACCTTATAGATATGGTAGATAATTTGGATGTAACAAAGATCTCTATGATATTTGATGAGTCAGGCTGTAAAAAAGTTTCAGAATATACAACAATCCTACAAATATTCCTGGTCATGAGATCTTTAACTTTATTAGAATCAGATGCTTTCTAAAGTCCTCAATATTCAGGGGAAAGTATTTAAACCCTGCTGACAAACTACATTTTTTTCAACAAGGGATAGACCAAAAATTATCAGCAAAATGTATTCTGTTGAATCTTAAAAAGGGTATAATTATTCCTAAAGCAAAGACAGATGGAGTAGTGACTTTAAAAAGGAATTGGATATTAAGGATTGGTATTTTGCAACGCAAATGATATACATTGTCAACATAATGGAGATCCACTATAAAATACAAAATAGGTGGTATTTAACATGTAAGAAACAAAATTAGATGTATCCTCATGATAATTTGCCTTGTTGGCGATGTGGTCTAAATATTGTAGATGAAATACATATATGGTCCATTAATAAAAACATTTTGGAAATATATATTCTTTTCATGTTAACAACCTTCTAGCCCTGAAACAAGACTGCATGGTTGAGATGGCTTTAATGCATTTCAATTTACCATCTCTACATAAAAGTAAAAAATAGTTTCTGATCCATGTACTGATGGCATTTAAAAGCTCTATTGCTAACAGGTATCGGCTAGGTGCAAGTGGACTGAGAATTTTCTATCTGCCCAGATGTTACCTTTCCTGACACCTCACCTACGCTTCGCTGGCAGACTTCCGCACCCAACAAAACACGAACTCAGAGACTCTTTTTACACATATGATTCATGGCGAGGCCTCTACTACTCAGACATAGCTGAATACGCTTGTTTTATTGCCCAATGCTACAATACCGCTTGGTACTAACCTAACATGACATACTCAGCCATGCCACTTAGGCATAATGTTCGCTTGTCTCCTACAGCTCAAACGTGTTCAGTACCCCAGGTCCCCGCATATTTCCTATAACCTAAAATAGCACAGCACACATGACACTCTAAACTAAGCTTAACCTCTTATACCGCATACTCTTACTGACCACACATAATACCTGTATTCCAGTGCTCTAAAGCATAGTTCCTAGCAATTGATAGCATGAATGCAGTCAAGCATGTTACACGCGTAGGTAAACTAATCATATACCTACATAATGAGATCTAACACATAGTACACTGCCCAGCATAACTAAGCAATGTATGACTTAGCATATTCAGTGAAGAGCAAATAATATGGTGAGTGGGTTTCATAATACTTGCCTACAATCTTATATCTCGAACGTACTACTAGTCTCAATACTGAGCCTTACCTGTAATCCTCACGCATGTTAATCTACAGGTTTTCAGCGCTGGGCATAGCCTGCATGTTTAATACCTATTACCTTGCTTTACACAGCTATCTGCATAAAGCGACTTACTTTAACAAATAAAATGAAGCAGCCCCGCATAGGAGAAAATTTAATGTTTTATTCTTTCTACTTAATTACTCTAGCATGTTATGTTCTATAAGCAATGATCACTAGACTGTTATTTTAATAATTATGACTTCTCTCTGCATCATATACTAACTAGCTACTTCTACATTGTAAGACATGTTGGTACATTAGGACTACACCAGTGTAGCTGATCTAGCTCTGTTAAGCATCAATTATTGTTATTTTCTTCCAATTAACCAAGCTTGTATCATTGTGTTTACATGACGTTTAAAACAAAACAAAACTATGGCAGTCTTTCTTAGGAGTGTATTACTCTTATTATTATTAACTTGTTACCCCACAATGCCTCCTCTTTCTATTCTGTACCCCATAACGCATATGCCATAATAAAAGAAAGATTTAAAAAAAAAAAAAGCTCTATTGCTAAAAACTGGAAAACAGCCAAGGTAGACTTGTGGTTCCAAATTAAAGAAAAATATAAAATATGGGATAATTGGGTAATGGTCTTGGATGTGGTTCTATAAGGAGGAGAAGAGAACCTGAGACCTAAATTTTGACTATAATTTTATCCTGTCCTCTTCCTGTCAGTTCTTACCTTTGCTGCTCTGATTGTCTGTATGTTTACTGTAATTATCTTCCCATTGTTTGTTCGTAGTAAATGTAATATTTTTTTTTTATATATGTATTAAGATATCAGTTTATCTATCCATATAATTATATGTATAATTGTAAAAAACAATAAAGAACAAAAAACCACAGCTCTTGAGAAAGTACTGGTTTTGGACGAAACAAATTGAGCGAATAGCTATTTCTCCGAACGGCTCCAAGTAAATGGCAAAATTTGGGTGAACGACAAGTGTATTCGAGCCTTTCAGGACAGTTATATTGCTATCTCATGCACTTTATTAGACTAACACCTGGAAATTGCAAACTGAAAGATTTCTTGGACCTGCAGTGTGCGTATGTGTGTTTGTATGTGTGTCTAACAAATTAACAATCATGCACATTCCATTTGTTATTATTTCCACCTTTGGTAAGGCACATAGTTATTCACAATCTTGCTTTGTACCTGTGTGCAAAAAATAGTACCTTTGTGCAAAACCTCTGACCAATACACTTGCCCCTGTAGACGTGCATTCACAAGATGCAAAATGTATGCAGTAATTAGAATTTTATTGCATTTTCAATCAAAACATTGATCAACATATTAGTATCTATGCAAAGACTTTTTTTGTAAGATAACAATTTAGAGTTAGTACAATTTAAATACAGTGTTTAAAATAAAGAGACAGTGATTAGTGATATTAACTACAATGTCAAATACAGGGTTGTAAGCAGAACATACGTTTTGAATATCATGCAAGATAATGAAAATAAATCCAAGATTAAAAAAAAATATAAGCTAAAGGGAGATGTAGCCCACTGCCACCATTTGCACTCATGCCTCTAACATACATTAGGATAAAAGAGATTGAACAAGAAAAGGCAGAGCAAATGTGCAGTAAAAATGAATCTAGTCTTATGTTTAAAAAAAAAAAAAAAAAAATCAGCCTCACCTAACATCATGAAAATCAAAATTCATTGGGACACATGGCACAGTTTACACTTATATTGCAATGTAACAGAATTTAGGAATACATTCACATTGCAGATTTGGCAGAATGCCTATAGCTAATACAATAATGACAAAGTGATGCAACAGTTATAGATCAAAGCAGAACCCCAATCATAGTTGTAACAGAACACAAAGATCATTTTCTGTTTCTCCCACATAAGCATATCTACGAGGACAGATGATATATTATGACATTTTCAGTCTTGCAGTTAATTCTGAATTATATATTGTAAATATTGCTGTGTGAGCATAATTAAAGGTTTTACCTTTTGTCACATGACCACATGCCCCACAGCAGAGCTATATGTAGCAGACAGTTCACAAAATCTGGATTTGACCTAGGATGATTAAACTTGTTAGTACATGCCTAAAGGTTCCTTCAGGTAGCACTCCTCTTGAAGCCAATTAAGGATTAGACATAAAAATGTTGGGTAGAATGGGACCTGTTTGGAGGATATTACATTTATCCTTAATTATTTGTGCAACTCCACCAGACCTTTTTTTTTTTTTTTTTTAAATGACCTGCCTCCGATCATTGTAAGTCATGATTGTGCCAGTGCCATACACACAGTCTCATTTCTATGTTCTCACTCAGTGAAGGGATTTTGCATGCTTCTAAAATAAGAAAAACTACCACATCAAGAGGGCAAAAGTTAAAAAATAATATTAGGAAGTGTTACTTTACTGAGAGGGTAGTGGATGCATGGAATAGCCTTCCAGCTGAAGTGGTAGAGGTTAACACAGTGAGGGAGTTTAAGCATGCGTGGGATACACATAAGGCTATCCTAGACTTAAGATAAGGACAGGGACTAATGAAAGTATTTAGAAAATTGGGCAGACTAGAAGGACCGAATGGTTCTTATCTGCCGTCTCATTCTATGTTTCTATGTTTGTTGTTAAATAACAGCTCCAACTGCGCCATAAATGAAAAAGGACATCTGAATTGTGGATGATTGTCAAAGGTACAATAAACTGATGTAGCTGCTTTGGGTGTGGAGGGGTACTTGAAGAGGAATAAACCCCAGAGAAGGTAGAAAAATGCTGCCTTCTGTCTGGATCCCACAGACCCAAGTGGACCTCTGTAGGGCAGTACTGTAACTTTTATTTACAATAAGAGAGTATATAAAGTGATCCATTATTCCACCTTTACCCACATTTTTAAGGTTATATTTGTCATGCAGTTTTTTTTTTGGTACAGTATTTTTTGTATGTTTATATATAGAAATATTTTGTTTTTGTGTGTTTAACTCAAATATGGTTTAATAAAGTGTTGCCTGTCTGTTTCCTTCATTGATTTCCCAGCTGACACTGTTTTTTGTAAAGTGAACTAAGTGATTTCTCGTTGGAAATGCAATACTTGAGTTAATGTTCATTTCTATACAGTTTTTAATGATCTATTCTATACAGTGATGAAAGGAGATCAGTTTTCTTAAAGATTTATTCACCAAACTGTGAACTGTTGCAAGTTGCCAAAATAATTTTATTGAAACAAATTCAGCTCTCTTTCAGTATGGTAATTTGTTTTTCCAAATTTGGAATTCCTTTTTCAATTTACCACAGTTCATAAATTAATGAAGAGAGATAAATATGACTGGATGTTGTGGAAGATGGCCACAATAACAGTTAGATCATTTTCTGTGGGCTATTTGGCCCTTCTCTGGCTGTGTATCCACAATAACCAGCCAGCTAGGGCATTCTTAACTGGTACTGCCACTTCAGAAGAGTTTGTTGCTTTCCAATATTTTTGCCCCACTATTTAGGAAGCAAGACATTATCTTGCAAAACCTGTATAACTTATCTGCCAGAGTTACTCATCAATAGCACATTGCGTATTATCCTCACATCCCTGGTGAAATTATCCCATAAGGGAATGTTGTTGCATGTAGTAATATTTTTCTTCCCTGCCTCATCCATTTTTACACGTCCTGTATACTCTTCTTGCCATATCCAGAATATATCATGTGGAGTGGTCTTTGTTTCTATGTAAAACTACAAATAGAGGTCCACAGGCATCACAACGTAGGGTGAAGGAAAAAATATATATTTATTGTTTTATAATATTCAGACACGCTGCTGAGGGGTTATAAATGGAGTTCTGCAAAAATCATTTCTAGGGGTATAGAAAGAATATCTGAGGTGATCTCTGATTGGACAGATTTCAAAAGCGATCTAACTACACAAGCCCAGTTGTCCTCAACAGATCATAGATAAGAGAAGCAACTTCAGTTATTCACTCTTTTACCACCAGCAAAGATAATTTAAAAAAATATATATTATTCTGACGGCATTTATCTGAGAGGGTGCTGCCCTAAGTGCCTCTATGGACAAGCCGCCACTGCTCCATATCCATAGCTCCAATGGAATAAACTATCCAGCCATTCTGGTCCATCCACCTCACTCATCTCCTTCCCTTTACTCAATTTTTTACTCATTATCTTTCTCCTTTCAATCCCTCATACTGTGTTAGGTTTCCTTCCACAACGAGATCATGTTTATATTTTTGCACAAAACCTCTGCAAGTCTATTGTGTCTATTATAAGGACAGGATTGTTTTGAAAACGCCTTCCATGTCCCATGTCAATATCCCCTTCATATGAAAGCTATATTTATTCTGGTTTGAAAATGTCCTTTCTAACAAAAAATGAAGTCGTTCTAGATTTATAAACATGTGGTACAATCTGGACAACAGAATAAATAGTTTGATTCTTCACAAAGTGAGTAAGTGCTTATTATACCCAGGTTTTGCATGCTAAATATTGTTTTTGCCACAGGAGAATGCATAAATGGTTGGCTAATTTAATTAACATTTCTATACATAATTAGGAAGGGAGAAAACCCTTGTTTAACGCATACATTTATTATTAAGAGATACTGTATAAACATTTCATATTGTGTCAGGAGCAGATTATTTACTGTAATTATACATGTCATATGTCAAAGATATGTGTCATTATCAGATCTTTACTGACTGCATTCCACAAGAAGCATTTGAAATCTACCACCTTTTATCTGTGATTAAAAAAAATAGATCAACAAAACTCCTCTCCAAAAGCTGGCATGTACCGTTGGTTGCAGTGGTGTATCCTGGTTTTGTGCTGCCCTAGGCAGGACAAAACTCAGGCACCCCCCTGCGCCACCCCCACCCAACCTTCTAAATACACACATACACAAACAGTCAGACACACACCACAGTCAGACACACAGTCAGACACAAACACACACACACAGTCAGACACAAACACACAAACACACAGTCAGACAGTCAGACACAAACACACACAGTCAGACACAAACACACACAGTCAGACACAGACACAAACACACAGTCAGACACAAACACACAGACACAAACACACAGTCAGACACAAACACACACACAGTCACAGACACACACACAGTCACAGACACACACACACAGTCAGACACAAACACACACACACACACAGTCAGACACAAACACAGTCAGACAAACACACACACAGACACAAACACACACACACACACAAACACACACACAGTCAGACACACACACACACATCAAAAAAATGTCTTCTTTTTATTTAACCCCCCCAGCCTCCTTACCTTTGGGAGTGCTGGGGGGGGTCTCTCTCTCCCTGGTGGTCCAGTGGCTGCCGGTCGGGCAGGTGGCGCTGGCAGGCGGGCGGCTGGCGAGGGAGCTCTTTCTCTGAGCTGACTGCTCAGCTCCCTTGCGCGCCGCACAGTGAGGCTGGGAACTGGAATATGACGTCATCTTCCGGCTCCCAGCCTCACTCTGCGGTGCGCGAGGGAGCTGAGCGGACCGCTCAGAGGAAGAGCTCCGTCGCCAACCGCCCGCCCGCCCGCTCGGCATGTCTGTTAGCCGCATGGCTAACAAGGCATTTGCCCTGGGCATTTGGGGGTGGCGTTTTTTGCCGCCCCCTGGAAAATGCCGCCCAAGGCAAATGCCTTGTTTGCCTCGCGGCTAATACGCCCCTGGTTGGTTGGCCTTTTTAGCTGGTGGGGTTATCAACACACAGAAACGTGTTCTGTTTGTTTGCCGCTGAAAATGTTTTTAGAAGCCCTTTCTCTAACTTACTTTTCAAACTGTCTAATGTAAACTGCATGTGCATATTAGATAGAAATAATATACAAATATGAAACTGCATGTTGGGAGCCATCTGAGGTCCTTTATAAATGTCTGGTGTTTGGTTGGTCCCATGCAGATGGCTCTTATTAGTTCATATTTCTAGTCTACTGAAAAAGTACGCAGTGGAAAAAAATAAACTTCAATTTAGCAATCGACTGACATTCCAAGAGTACAAGCCCAAGAAAACTGTATTGAAAGAACAGGAACAGACAGCATGCAGTATCCACACTGGAGCTCGAAGAGAAACATCAGGAATGGGTAAAGAAGTCTCACACGCAGTGCAGCTCCCTAGAATAAGACAGAGACATGAGTACAAGACAAAGCATCGCAGAGCAGCATATGCCTGGTAGCCCAGGAATCCAAAGCAGGCAATTTACAAGCAGGCTATGACAAGCATTGGCTGGGAAACTATTTAATGAACATCCTCAGCTGGGAAGATTGTCCAGTTAAGAGACTCATTGCCTGCTCCCCCATTCCACAATGACAGGCCAGCAAAAAAATAAAATAAAAAAATATTTATATATATATAATGCCGCGCTAAGCTGGCAGTGAAGGAGCTGTGATCTCCCTTTCAGCTCCCTCGCAGGTCGAAGAGTGATGGCGGGAGCCAGAGTGACATCATATAGCTCACAAATCACTGATCCCTCGCCACCCACCTGGAGTTCAACTGGCCGCCTATCCCGGGGAGCCCAAAGATGGCCAGCCGGACAGCTCATGAACCCCCTTAAACTGAGGCTAACAGGGCATTTTATGCTGCCCCCCTGGAAAGTGCCGCCCAAGGCAAATGCCTTGTTAGCCTCGCAGAAAATACATCGCTGTACACACATATATATAGTCAGTTACACTCATATATATATATATATATATATATATATATATATACACACATATATACATACATACACACACATACCCCACTCAAAGTGTACCAAAAACAAAGCATGAGGGTATGAGTGTAGCAGAGGCAGGTATGAACGGATGTTGGAGAAGGTCTAGGACTTACAGAATATTTATTCCATGCTTAAAGGGACACCGTAACTGCTTCATCTCAAAGTGGTTATAGTGTACGGACTCTCCTGGCTCCATTCTTCCATTCAATGTTAAACCAGTTTTAATTTAATGAGAGTCCCTAAAAGCCCATCCTCTCTGTGCTGCTTGGGCTTATAAGGAAGAAATAGCCTGAGCGGCAATGGGCAGCTGTGATTGGCTGAAAGAATCAGATGACTGCTTTCGGACACAAAGCCCATTGCTGCTATAGATTGGTATGGCAAAAAGGAAGTGTGTAATCTCTGTGGTTGACTAGGACCAGGGCTCGAGTCCTGCAGGAACGCATGGGAACGGCGTTCCCGCACTTTTTCCACAGCAGGAACGCCGTTCCCGTTACCTGTCCTGCAGGACCGGCCCTGCTACCTGCACAGAGGGGCCATCACACGCTGTGTTCCCTCTCCAGCTATAACTCTCGCGAGACCCGCGGCTGTTACCATGGCAACGCTCCGCACAGGCGAGTCTCGCGAGAGTTAGAGCTGGAGAGGGAACACAGCGTGTGATGGCCCCTGTGTGCAGCGGCTGGCTCCCTCCACCGGACCACCAGGCGATCTCCCCCCTCCCTGACAAGGTAAGAAGCAGGGAGGGGGGATAAAATAAAAATTATACATAAAGTAAAAAAAAATGCTTTCCCCCTCCCCCCATCATCCAGCACTCACACACCCATCATCCAGCACACACACACACACACATCATCCAGCACACACACGCACACACACACACACACATCATCCAACACACACACACACCATCCAACACACACACACACATCCAACACACACACACACACACACACACACACACCATCCAACACACACACACACACACATCATCCAACACACAGATCATCCAACACACACACACAATCATCCAACACACACACACACAATCATCCAACACTCGCACGCACGTCGTCCAACACTCGCACACTCTTCACTCACTACAAACACACTACATTCACTATACACACTGCATTCACTATGCACACACTACATTTATTATACACAGTGCACTCACTATACACACACTACATTTATTATACACAGTGCACTCACTACAAATACACTACATTCATTATACACACTCTGCACTCACTACAAACACACACTGCATTTATTATACACACTCTGCACTCACTACAAATTCACTACAATTATTATTCACACTGCACTCACTACAAACACACTACATTTATTATTCATACTCTGCATTCACTACAAACACACTACATTTATTATACACACCCTGCACTGCACTATATGCATAGGAGTGTAATTTTTTTTATTTTTTTTTAAGGGGGGGGGGGGGGAGGCGGGACTCTTGGGTGAGTTCCCACACTTTTTTCCCCAGGACTTGACCCCTGACTAGGACCCCTTATGTAGTGTTTAGCTGCTTGAAAACGATTCCACACTGAACAGAGGGGCAGCGCCAGAGTTCCTACGGCAGCCCTTCAATATTACAGATATCACCTATTAATATTTTTCTGACTTGCAACACATGCAAATTATACATGCAGGGCCGCCATCAGGGGGTGACAACCGTGACTGTTGTCACGGGCCCGGCGGCCCTGGGGGGCCCGGACTGCTCTGGCAGTCCTGGGCCCCACTTTGTTTCTCTGCACACATAGATAACGAATCTCGCTATCTATGTGTGCAGCCGCGGGCCCCCCGGCTCCCTGTTACTGTCCGCAGAGGGGGCCCAGGCAGCACACAGCTTCTCCTCCTGTCTTCTCCTCTTCTAATAACTCTCGCGAGACCCGGTTACCATGGCAACGCTCCGCGGGTCTCGCGAGAGTTATTAGAAGAGGAGAACCTGTGTGCTGCCTGGGCCCCCTCTGCGGACGGTAACAGGGAGCCGGGGGGCCCCATGCCACCGGGCCACCACAGATGGAATCTCCCCCCTCCCTGGATACAGGTAAGCAGGGATGGGGGAGAAACATTTAATTCAATTAATTAAAAATTAATGTTAAAATGCCCCTTCCTCCCCCTCCCCCCCCAGATCACACATTTACACAACACACACACTGCATACACTAACACAACACACACACTACATACACTAACACAACACACACACTACATACACTAACACAACACACACACTGCATACACTAAACAACACACACACTGCATACACTAACACAACACACACACTGCATACACTAAACAACACACACACTGCATACACTAATACAACACACACACTGCATACACTAACACAACACACACACTACACACACTAACACAACACACACACTACATACACTAACACAACACACACACTGCATACACTAACACAACACACACACTACATACACTAACACAACACACACACCGCATACACTAACACAACACACACACACTACATACACTAACACAACACACACACACTGCATACACTAACACAACACACACACACACACTACATACACTAACACAATAAACACACCACACACTAACACAACACACACCATACACTAACACAACACACACACTCTGCATACACTAACACACAACACACTGCATACACTAACAGACAACACACACTGCATACACTAACACAACACACACACACTGCATACACTAACACACAACACACACTGCATACACTAACACAACACACACACACTGCATACACTAACACAACACACACACACACTGCATACACTAACACAACACACACTCTGCATTCACTACACATTAACACACTCTGCATTCACTACACTAACACACACACTCTGCATCCACTACACACTAACACAATCTCTGCATTCACTACACTAACACACTCTCTGCATTCACTACACATTAACACACTCTCTGCATTCACTACACTAACACACACTCTGCATCCGCTACACACTAACACACACTCTGCATCCGCTACACACTAACACACACTCTGCATCCGCTACACACTAACCCACTCTCTGCATCTGCTACACACTAACCCACTCTCTGCATTCACTACACATTAACACACTCTGCATTCACTACACTAACACACACACTCTGCATCCGCTACACACTAACAATCTCTGCATTCACTACACTAACACACACTCTGCATCCGCTACACACTAACACACTCTCTGCATTCACTACACATTAACACATTCTGCATTCACTACACATTAACACATTCTGCATTCACTACACTAACACACACTCTGCATTCACTACACATTAACACACACTCTGCATTCACTACAAATTTACACACACTCTGCATTCACTACAAATTTACACACACTCTGCATTCACTGCACTAACACACACACTACATTCATTACACTGACACACTCTGCATTCACTACACACTAACACACACTCTGCATTCACTAAACTATGCATACACTATGGATTCACTATACTGACACACAATCACGCATTCATTACACTAACATCCTGTATTCACAGTACACACACTACATCCACCACACATTGAAACACTCTGCATTCACTATACACAGACACTGCGTCTAATACACGCACTACATCCACTAATCACATTTCATCTAGTACATACAAACACTACATCCACTACACAAACACACACTACATCACTGTACACACACTATATCCACTACTCAAACACACTCTGCGTTCACTATACACACTGCATCCGCTACACAAACACACACTCTGCATTCACTGTACAAACAGTATCTAATACACACAAACACTACATCCATTACACATATTCTAATTTACTTCCACTATACACACCACATTCAGTCCTGCATCATTGTCAGCGGACCAGGTAGGGCGTGGGCGGGCCCAAACCTTGTGCTTTGTCAGGGGCCCTAAAATTTCTGATGGCGGCCCTGTATACATGAATGCACCCGAGTGATGCTAAAAGAAAAAACAAATAGTTACATGTCAAACAGATGTTCAGTAGTTTGACTTGGGCGATCTAATATCACTTCTTTACTCTTCACACAAAGGCACTTGCTGTTAATGTCTTCACTGCAGTGGAATGAGAAGCGGTTGCTTTGGTCCTGATGTAGGATGAATATATCATGTGTTTTTTCAGATACGTTGCCAACCTGAAAACAATGACAGACTGAGAATAATAATTTGTGAAATATATTGAAACAATTATAGGCATTTTAGTTTCAATTTAAAGTTGTAATTCTACATCATATGTCTTAAAACTCAAGATTACATTTTGCTTCACCTGACCATTCTGCTTATGAAAAGAGGAGCAGAGAGTGGGTTTTTTTTGTCATCTGATCAGTCTCTGATCCACTGGATGCTTTTTTTTTGTGCTGCTAAGAGAGAGTCACATTTTAAATACGGTCATGTTTCTTGTTATGGTTCCTGATCATTATCCACATGAGATAATTTGAAACAATCTCTCCCCTTCCATCTCATCATGTTGGTGGAGGTTAGGTTGAGCGTCCAAGGAGTAAGTAAATAGAGACAACTCCGAGGCAGGGTCTGACTGTGATGGCGGCTGGATGCGTTTTCAGAGAGCTCCGGGCAAATAGTTGAATCTAAGCGACTTACCCGTCCTACCGGTGCTCTCTCTGAATCAGATAGCAAAGTTTTGAACGCCAGGTGTAAGGCGACCGGCTTTGCACGATTGGTGGCAGCCGTCCAGACTAAGCCCTCAATGGGCCGGAGTAAGGCCTAGCAAGCAGCGCGGAGGGGAGAGGCGGGCACTCTCCCAGCCAAGCTCAGACGGACCTCCGTACAACCCTTGATGGCACCCTGCAACCCGCCCCTTTGGACTGGCGGGGGAGATCCCGGCTCACTCCCTCCACCAGGACTAAGTGACCCTGCTTCAAACAGCATTGACACCCCACATGGCATAACTGTAGCGGATAGCCCCAGGCGACCCTACAAATATACTGTTTTACCTGCATTCGTGTATCTGCTGTGTTTTCTATGTATTAAAGTGAATTGTATTCCTCTGATTGTTCGGTAGTTTCATTCCCTTAGTTTATTCGAATGAAACTACCGAACAACCAGACCTCCCCTGTGTGAAGTGTGTCCTCAATTACCTGTTGCAACATTGTTGCGAACGGGTAATTGAACAGTAAGTAGCCGTCCTTTGTTCTCGGGGGTGGCCGCCATTCGACAAACGAACACGTGGCGGCGGCCATTTTAAAACTCCCGAACAGCGGTGTTTTGCCGTCGAGTGTCTGGAACTAAAATCGGACACTCGAGTAGGCGAACACCGCTGAGACCTCCACAGCCCTGGTCCGTTCGGTTCCAAACTACCGAACGGCCCCTCGTTCGGTAGATAGAAAATACCGAACGAGGGGATTCAGGCGAACCCTCCCTAGCCTCTATAGCTAGAGGTTTTCGTGTATTTTATTCCCTTATGCCAGGACCGACCGCAGGGCCCATTCACATGGAACCGGATTCGGCTATCTCAGTTAGTGCGGTCGGTCATTTTATTCCCTCCATACATTTCCCGAACCCCTGGTCTGATCTGGGTGATTTTTGGATATGTTGTTCACCCAGATCCGGGGTATCCGGGGATGTAGGATTTAAAGTGGTACCCCTACGTTTAGGGGTACATCCAGAAACGGGGGGAATTGGTGTGCTGGATAAGGGGATTATGATGCTGGCTGAGGGGAGGAGATGTGTGGGAGGTTACCAGGACAGGATTGGCTACTGTAATAATTACTGTAATCCCTCCCTTGCATGGGAGCATGCTTTATAAGGAGACTGTGATTAAAGGCTTGTCAGTTCTGCTCCTGAAACTGTGTGTCGTCCAGTTATTGGGATCGCTGTTGGGATATTGCTGTATTTTACCTGCTGGAAGCCTTGCATGTGGATTTACTATTTACTTGTTCCTGAGTCCCACTTGGATTATAAGCGGAGATAACCTGGGTATTATTGCATCTCCGCTACAATAACCAACATGACGGACATTGCGGACCCCACGCCTGGTTATGGCGCTGTGGTGCCCAGAACACTGGCCTTCCTGGACAACCTTCTTGCCAACTTCTGGGGGGCGCTGTCCCTCCGACAACCAGTACCCGCTCAACAAACCTTGCAACAGCACCCATCTAAACCCGATCCCTGGCAGCCTCGAAATAGGCGTAGCACAAAGAAAACACGAAAATCGCAAAAAAGACCGGGTCGGTGGAGCACAAAGGGCGGGAAGCACAGGCCTGCATCAGACAGTGGTGCCTATGGAGCCAGCTGCCGGAAGGCCAAGCAGGATGAAGCAGGGAGAGGAAAACAGGGGATACAGAAGAAGACACTAAACACTATGGGCACTGCATCGACCTTGTCTGGGTCACTACGCCTTAATAACTTATCCCAATACCTGGTACTGTACCCTGCTCACGACGGGCATAGGCTGAAAGCACAGAAGGTTGCCAGATCCACAATCACATCACACACAGCCAGGAGAAATCAACCTTCTTTACCTAAGACTGCACCATTTGTTACAAACATCCTCACACTAGCACCTACCAATACAGTCACTCAGGGTGGCAAATCTCGTTTGCATAATACCTTTAAGATGTAACTTACTGTATATGCACCACATATCAACCAGCTACTGCTATACTGCAAAACATGTTAATACATTATAATTACACTAGCATAGCTAACCTAGCATTGTCAAGCAATCAATCATTTTATTTTATTTAATCTTACTCTGACACACATGGCTTATAGCTTGTGCCCTAGTATATGTTTCTTGTGAAAAGCCTAAACTAAGCAAGCGTAACTCACTCTAATGTAAGAGATAAAAGCTAGAACTAGCCTGTATTACTCACTCTGAATGTTTGTATATGCATAACCTGTGACGTCAATAGACTGGCTAATATGCTGACCATAAACCTACTATTCAAAATCGATTACTTAAGCTGAAAATAATATAAAAATGTGCCTGTTAATCTTTGTGCCGCATGTTTCGCGAGATAATTGCTTGAGGACTGCTTTCAAGGCACCTCATGCCTGCTTGTAATATCTATATGCACTGCAAAAATAAAAAATGTAATTAAAAAAAAAAAAGTTATGTTATTCAAGATATTTGCCTAGAAATTCACACCATCACAGAAGGTTATTATAAACCTGTTGGCAGGCGCTGTGTTTGCAGGTATATTAGGTTTTGTGTTTTTGGAAATAGGATTTCTAGGCGAATGTCTTGAATGGAGATCCAATACCAGAAGCTTAACTCCAGGCATATCTTCATTTCACATATGCGAAATTACTTGAGCCAGTTATGTACAAGCTCAGAAAAATGTGAGTGTGGAGGGAATAGAGATTTATTTCTTGATTTGTTTTTAACAAACAGTGTGTTCAAACTATGAATACCAATCCAAAATTACCTCTTTTGATGGAGGAATGTGTGTAACAAAGTGCTTAAACAAGAATAAGAGTGATTAACAAGCAGCTCTATACACTTATGTGGAAATTTCCTCTTTTCCACTAAATCATATAAAATACAGTGCGGTATAAGTGGCAAAGACCTAAACCCATAAGTGGAGCGCTCAAACAAATATAAAGCTTACCAAGCGTGACTTGATTCAATAGTACATTATGAAGTACATGCCAAAAAAATACAAAAAGACACAATATAGTGCAGATGGTATATAAAATTGCAATACAGAAATAATAATAATGTAGCAAACTTTTTAAGGAGCCTGTATATAAAAAACTGGCTCCATATTAAGGCTTGTGTGCTTTTATTGGTAGCACCACCCTTCCGCTTCGGCTTGGAGTGGTTCTCATAAAAAGGACATAAAAGGAGAACGAACCAATGTGTAGACTGTAGCGATAAAAACACAGATGTAAAATAAATGTGGTGCTCACCTGTTCCTGAGCCTATGGGACCGTATCTAAGGTGTATAGATGTGGTGCCAATTTAGATAGGGATGGCACTGCCCATATGAAGATTCCTAGAGGCTCCAAAAAGGAGCAGGATATCTTGAATAAAATAACAAATGTATTGATATATAATAATTATAAAAAATAAATGGTAAAAAAGTCCTTAGTAGGGGCTTGCGGATGCATCGGCACGCCCAAAGGGCGGGGCAGGCCTTTGTGCTCGCACACCACCCTCTCAAGGATGAATCTCCTCCTATGGAGTAAAGTCCCCTGCCTCCGGCCCGCACGCATAAGAGGTGTGTAGCAGGGTCAGAGGATCTGGGGGTCTCCCCGAGGCGGGGGCTAGATGACGTTCACAGAGGTCCGTGACGTCACTTCCGCCAACCGCCCGGTGGGCCCCCAGTACTTCCGCCAACCACCATTGTCCACCAATGAAAATGTCAATAAATAAAGGCGCAGAAAATTCGTCCAATTAAAGGTATGCACACAAATTATCCCACACAAGAAATATATATACACCACTGTGATTGGATAAATTGTATTCAGATCATTAAAGGGGAAGGCCTAAAGGACACTTACAATGGAAGATTCAGAGGACCATCATTACAGTTGACTGAGGAAGCTCTATTGAGAGTGAAATGCGTATTGGCCATTTTAAAGGACTTTTACTAAGGACTTTTTTTACCATTTATTTTTTATAATTATTGTATATCAATAAATTTGTTATTTTATTCAAGATATCCTGCTCAAGTCCTTTTTGTCCTCAGTGCCATCCCTATTTAAATTTGCACCACATCTATACACCTTAGAGCCGGTCCCATAGGCTCAGGACCAGGTGAGCACCACATTTATTTTACATCTGTGTTTTTATCGCTACAGTCTACACATTGGTTCATTCTCCTTTTATGTCTTTTTTATGAGAACCACTCCAAGCCGAAGTGGAAGGGTGGTGCTACCAATAAAAGCACACAAGCCTTAATACAGAGCCAGTTTTTATATACAGGCTCCTTAAAATGTGAGTGTACAGTTTGCTACATTATTATTTCTGTATTGCAATTTTATATACCATCTGCACTATATTGTATCTTTTTGTATTTTTTTGGCATGTACTTCATAATGTACTATTGAATCAAGTCACGCTTGGTAAGCATTATATTTATTTGAGCGCTCCACTTATAGGTGTAGGTCTTTGCCACTTATAGCGCACTGTATTTTATATAGTGTGTTCAAACTAGATTGCCCTGTTTGAGTATTCTCTTTTACAGAGCTATCTGAAAGAAATCTGGTATAGCATTCACTACTGTGGCAATATCTGTTTCACAGATAAGTGCGCTGCCAGCTATTTTGTTTTGGGTATATAATATAATGTTAGTAGTAACACTAACTCCAATTTGTAGATGCCACAATTAACCTTAAATGGTCAAATGTTTACAGGCACAAACTTCCCATATAACCACAGACAGACACTTCCATATTTGCAAATGCAATACTGCTCACAATCCAGAACACAGGTATATACTGATAGGCACCTTTGCATTCCACACATGCATCTTGCATTAGAGGACACTATAGGCTCTCAGACCACTTAATCTGATTGAAGTGGTCTGGGTGCAGTGTCCCTATTGCACTTAGTTCTGTGATATAAAACTGCAATGTTTACATTTTTTTTAAACTAAGAATACTGTCCCAACGCATTTCTTGTTTTTCTATGCTCATGGAGACCAACTGAATATGGAAAGTGATCTTGTCTTTCCTTTATAAGATCCACACTATTTAAGAAATAAGTGTGGTCATTTTATTTCATTGTTTAGCTTTTTGCTTTCTGGTACTGCTGAAAAATAAGAACACATACCTTGAATAAAACTTTATTTTTTTCTGTGAACACCAGTGGAAGTTTCTTTGAATCATCTAGTAAACACAATGTAGCTTGAACGGTATGCTGTGATCTATGCATGATGTGTATTTCCCACAGTGCTGTAGAAAATAAGACAGAAGGTTGGAGATACATTTTTTGAGGCTTATGTCTAAGGTAAGGTAGGTTAGTATTCAGTAAGTGTGGCCATGTACTAAATTAAAGTAACAAAGAAAAACCAGGTTGTGCCTAGCGAGACATACACAAACAATATCATCTCTAATAGTCAGTGTAGGTGTAAAGGAACCCCACATAATCTGAATTATGTGTAGCGAAATCCAGATGATGGATCTCTAAAGTAGCCAGGAAAACTGGTAACAGAATGCAGGACCAAAAAGTAGGGGAAGATACAAATAAAATGTTATAAAAAGACTAAAAGTATTCACAACATGCTTGCCACATAAATGGGCTTTATCAAATGCCTGTTCACTTCAAGTGTTGCTCTATTAGCTGTAAGTAGGATTCTACCTCTGTTCATATTCATATGATTATAGCATTATGTGCCATTTGCCTTGAACTTATTGGAAGCTCTACACTAGTAAATGTGTTTTGACTTCTTGCACCTATATCATCTATGTTGGAAGTACTACACAATTGGAGTTTTTGTTTCAGTTAGAGCAATGAAGACACTACAAGCTATTAGTGTGAGGAACCAGGTTAGACTACAGACACTCCTCACTTACTGACCAGATTGCGTTCCTATGACTTGGTCGTAGAGAAATTTGGTTGGTAAATGAGGAGTTAAGGGATTCCCTGCTCTGGTTCATTCGTCTATGTTTGGGGAAACGTCCCTGAACATAAACGAATGCACTAAAGTAGGGAATCATTCTAATCTCTGTTCGCGCAAATTTACCCGAACATAGATTAGAGGGATTCCCTTCTCTGAAGCGTTCGTCTATGTTTGGGAAAGTTTACCTGAACATAGACGAACGTGCCAGAGCAGGGAATCCCCAGGACGGCTCACACTTACCACTGGTCATAAGTGCGAGCTGTCGTAAAAAAGGTAGGTCACAAAACGAGGACCACCTGTATAGAACTACATCCAGGTCAGGGATAAAAAGGAAGTATAAGGTGTAACGGATCCCCTATACTCCGACTGAGTATATCAGTTGTAAATCTCCCAAGTCCCAAGGTGAAGCAGTGGTTATAGCTCTGGTATACCCAAACATCAGCCAAGACTTGATGAAGGGTACAAAAAGAAATGTTTTATTATGGCCCAGTGGCCAGCTTATATACACAGACCCCTAGCATGGGGTCTCCATTCACTTGTGCAGTAAGCCTGCCCAGGCTTTCTGTGTCTGCGAGATAAGAGAGCTAGCTTTTGCCTACTCTAATTATCTCCCAGGCACAAGAGTTACAAAATATTAACAAAAACCATTAAAAATACATATAACATATATCTGAACCCCCGTAAGCATTCTATCCCTGCATAGCCTGGATCTGAGCGCCCAACATATCCAAATAGTGCTCAGATCCCACGAACACAGACCTACTGTACATGTGGCGTCTGGCCAAATTAGT